TGTCTACTTCTTTAATTCTTCTGAAAACCTGATAGGCCTTTAGGCTCAGCTTCATCAATCTTCTATTGTTTAATTTTAGCTCACATTGGATTTGAACATGAATTTACTGTTCAAGTTAAATACAACCTGCTGTCTAGCAAGTTCATGTTTGATTCAAAGGCTTAACAAATTGATAAAACACTCCACGTGACTCAACATGAGCAAAGCACTAACTACGAGCAGTTGATTTTAATGGACAAGGAAACTTTGAGTGAAGACTGAAGATCACTATACCAAGACAGCCCTGCTCTCAACACAGTCTAAAAAATTAACTTCCAGTTGACACCCATAATCAGACACATTAAAGCTAATCCATGTCATATCTATGTTTCTTGTCAGTACCTCTTTCTTGGATTATAAATCTCAGTGTTTTCTCAAAAAGATTGCTCTCAGGAAATCCCTGCCAAATTTGCAGTAAGCTTGGACACATCACTCTGGTGGTTGGTTAGAGATGAAAAAGAATGTAGATAGAATTGGTTCTAACTTCAATCCAATTTTGTGCTTTCAACAGTTTCTGTATTGTCAGTTTCAGTCCGACCTTAGTCATAATCCAATTACACAATTGGACTGCTAACACTTACTGAATTAGATCAAAAGATATGTAGTTGAGATGTCCACTTACATCTTTGGAATATCCAAGGTTTACTTTTATTGTGTAGAAGAATGACTAACCCTACAGAACCGCTTTTCTGGCTGGGTATCTATTAATTGTGACCTTTACTTGCTGCATTTCTCATAGGACAAAAGAAAACCTCACCAGTCCAGGCATCGAACTAATTTTTTTTTTTTTAACATTCTTTATAATTGCAAAGGTGGATTACAACAGATAACATAATTGTTCATCATGTATATATATCTTTTCTTATTATTTTTCTTGCAAATAATAACCATGATTGAGGTTTCTTTCTCCTTCCTCAGATATATTCTTACATTCCAGAATGGTGGCTTAGTTTCTATCAATGTTGAAATCTTCAGGTGGTTAAGGAAGTGCCAGTTCTGGCTGGAGTTTGTGCTACTGATCCTTTCCGCAGGATGGATAACTTCCTGAAGCAGTTGGAATCTGTTGGGTTCTGTGGGGTGCAAAACTTTCCAACTGTTGGTCTATTTGACGGTAACTTCAGACAAAATTTGGAAGAGACTGGAATGGGTTATGGGTATGTCTCAATAGATATGTTTTAGTCAGACTTATAGCTTATGCCCTTCCTTCATATTGTAACAATATCATGATTCCTTACTATTTATTCAGCTTGGAGGTTGAGATGATTGCAACAGCTCACAGGATGGGCCTTTTGACAACCCCATATGCTTTCTGCCCAGATGAAGCCGTTGCTATGGCAGAAGCTGGTGCTGACATCATAGTGGCCCATATGGGGCTCACAACATCTGGTTCAATTGGTGCAAAAACAGCTGTCTCATTGGAGGAAAGTGTAACCTGTGTCCAAGCTATTGCGGATGCTACTCATAGGATAAATCCTGATGCTATTGTGCTCTGCCATGGAGGTAAATCCAGGAACCCTAAAGTAACTAAAAGATTCTAAGGCAAAAAATAAAAGGAAATGGCTGGATCAATTCTGTGTCGTGTCATGCAGCAAAATCTCTGCCAATTAAGTAGTACTCTGATGGTGTATCAGATGGATTCACTGGCTTCATTTATTTTGAAGTCATTTTGTCTTAATTCCTTGGCGTGTAAAGAATATCGCTATGTGCAATGTCCTTATCCCCATGGTTACAGCTACCAATTCTAAGGTAGTTGCCTAATTGACGTTGCACCAATTAATTAGTGCACCAAGTACAAATTATACATGTTTATATGAACCTGGAGATTCTAATAAAAGAAACATTTTATCAAGTGGTGAGGATTGGTAATCTACTGTCTTTAGTAAATGATCCATGTGGGTGTTGCAGTCCACATAGCTTTAGCATTGATTCCCTGCGGTTTTTCTTCTGTCGTGAATCATAACCAGGAAAACAAATGCTGGTTGAAACTTTTTGGATTTGAAGCTGCATTTTTCATGGTGTATTTCCCTAAAAATGCAGTCCTAAAATACTTCCTATGCACATATTTCTGGCTATCTTCGACGATGTTTGTGCTAGTAGACATTTTTTGTTCTTGGAGGTATACTTGAGGTTAAGTTTTTGGTACTTCTTTACATTTGTGTTTATCTAAGTCCTAAAACTTCTCTCTTTTCTTTTTCTTCTTTTTTTCCCCTATCATTCTTCAAAGGCTTGGTATATATTGTAGTAGAATATCCGTAGCATTTCTTTTCTAACATAAAGTATTTGCTAGTCACTAGACTAGAACTATTACTACCATTTTGTAATTCCAGCATTTTTGTTGAAATTTCATTGCTTTCAATTACTGCAGTAACTTTAGCATAATAAGTTGCTTAATTTTAGGAAGAATTTCAATTTTGAATTTCTATTAGATTGTTTAAGTTAGTTGAGATATTTTAGGTTTTTTGAATTTTAAATTATGTGGATTTTTTGTTCCTAATTGGCTATTTAAAGCCTTGTTATGCTTAATAAAATTGTTGAGAGACATTTTCAATCTTTACTTTTAATATTTTTGCTGCCCCATCATTTAAAAAACCAATAGTGGTATCAGAGCTTCATTGGTCTTACGGGATCTGTGAGATCTTCTGAAGAACCATTTTTAAATCACTTTTAACCAATATCAGTTTTTAAACCTATTTTCAAACATGGCAAGCATCAGTCTCTCTTTGAATGCCCCACAAACTTTCCCTGGCAATTACTATCGAATTTGCTCAGTGAAAATGAAATCATATCTTAAAACCTATGATTTGTTGAATGTTGTAAAGGAAGAACAATCCTTACCAGCAATCCCTGAAAATCCTATCATTGTCCAGAATCAGATACTTTCAAAAGAGATTTCAGATAGGACAAGGTCACTAAAGGTATTTTTTATGCACAAAATCATAAGACGAAAAAGAAAGAAGAAAAAGAACTACACTACAAAAGTGTGCAATTTCAGATGCTCAAAACAATCCTCAAGGATAAACAACAGAAGCAAGAACTGAGGAGGAGCAACTCTTTAAATTGCAGCAACTGAAGCAAAGGAGGAGTGTTGATATTTCATTGCTTTCAGTTACTGCAGTAACTTTAGCATAATAAGTTGCTTAGTTTTAGGAAGAATTTTAATTTTGAATTTCTATTAGATTGTTTAAGTTAGTTCAGATATTTTAGGTTTTTTGAATTTTAAATTATGTGGATTTTTTGTTCCTAATTGGCTATTTAAAGCCTTGTTATGCTTAATAAAATTATTGAGAGACATTTTCAATCTTTACTTTTAATATTTTTGCTGCCCCATCGTTTAAAAAACCAACAATTTTACTTGACATCTTAATGTTGTTTAAAAGATATAATGGTGTTCTTTCTCAAGGCAATCCGGGAGGTCTGATTTGGTACAGAATTCTAAGCTGTCAAACAAATACTAGTTGTCAAATTTTACAATTATCTGGGGTTCTGGGTAGGATTAACATCGTTGGAAGTAGATTTTATATTTGACAAACTTTTTGTATCATCAGTTCTTGAGTCTTTATTGCAATGGCACATTCTTTTCTTCTCCTTCTGATTTATCTAGTCGCTACTGAAGATTCTTTCCGTTACTTACAGGCCCTATATCTGGCCCTAAGGAAGCAGCATATGTACTGAAGAGAACCAAAGGAGTTCATGGATTTTATGGCGCTTCAAGCATGGAGAGACTACCAGTTGAGCAAGCTATAACTGCTACCATCCAGCAGTACAAATCCATTTCGATGGAGTGAGATGCAATGGGTTTAGGTGCTTTATAAATTCGAGACCTATATGTATGATCTTCATCTCTTTCTTTATATATTAGTGTTGGTCCTCTAAGCTCTTGAATGTTCAAAGAATTTTGTAGCTTGAGCCTGAGATTTATGACGCGAATCACATGCAATATTTCTTCTTTTGTCTAAGATGTTGAGTTTTAATAAGCTGATGAAGTATTCATCTGTTTTTTAGACATTCATATAATTACAACTGACGGCAAATTATTTTTCTTTCTTTCCAACTTATTAGTCTTCGGACACAGGGAAGTATGCATAGAGTTACCCTGATGTCCTGGGCTTCTCTGTATTTAAGCAGCAACTTGGCACACGATGGCACTGCATCCACAGTTGTCTGTCCTGAAAATCTTTAGATTTAACAAATTATCCATGATCTACTCATCATCAACCTTTTCATTGGCTGGATACGAATCCCTCTGCAGCATAGACTGCATGAAGTTCTCATGATGTTCGTTTCCATTGAGCGATTGGATATTGTTGTCTTGAAGGTCTCCATTCGCCTCTTCTGTGCCTGGGCATATTGCTTTATATGCTGTAATAAATATCTGAAGTTGAAGATAAGCATATTCCACGAGGAATACTAATTATTATCCCTCTTTCAATAATAATTTATACTTAAGTATTAGTTTGTTTTTATGGTGGATAGAAATTCTCCTAGATGTTGCAACATATGTTCTGCATGCAGTAGTCAACTCTACCTTTGCGGCCAGATATAATCTGGTACCTGATGGTGCCTGGATTTGATAGAAGGCAGTTGAACTGCACTGCAGTTTCTCATTATCGGTAATGTAATATTTAAGTCAAGTTTAGCATCTTAAATTCCATACCGTGTATGAAATATGACAGATGGAGGACTACTTCTACCCAAGTCACCTGTCATGTTTTCTTACGTTGACTTTTCCGCGGAAGTTATGTCTATAGTCGCTGATTTGAGTTGAAATGGAAACTTTCCCCATTAAAGAAGTTGCAAGGAAGCTAGACGTGCTGATGTGAGTGGCTGGATAAATAGAATCTTCAAAATTTACGCAGTCTAAACTGACTCTCGACTCCTGCATTTTCTTAAAAAAAAACTCTGGTCCCAAAAGTCTTTCCACTCGTTTTTCTTTACACGTTTTTATTACTATAAATTTTGCACTTACCCTTTAGCCATTGCTTGCATTCTAGCATCCAATCAAACCGGCTCGCATCACCTGTCCCACCCTGTTCCTTTCAGAGAAGTCAGAAATTGGTGTTCTATTTTTCTGATATCATTGGCTATCTAAACGACTGCAAATAACAAAATCTTGAATACCCACAACCACAAAGCGACGAGTCCCTCCTAAGGAACATGTCTTCTTCTGCAGAATCGAAAATGGTACTGGCCAAGACCGTTTTATCCACAGTAGGCTCTGTTGCTGCAACAGCTATGGTGGTTCGAACAGTAGTCAATGAATTCCTTCCTCCAGAATTGCATGAATATTTCTTCTTTGGCCTCAAAAACATCTTCAGCAGATTCTCAAATCAGCTAACAATGGTAATAGATGAATTTGATGGCTTGGTCAACAATGACATCTATGAAGCAGCCGAAATGTACTTGGGAAACAAGCTGTCACCCAACACCCGTCGAGTCAAAATCAGCAAGCCTGAGAAGGAGAAACATATCAACATAACCATGGAACGCGATGAGGAGGTGACAGATGTTTATAATGGGCAGAAATTCAAGTGGGTTTGGCTCTGTAGACGAGTAGAGTCTAGAGACTTTTATAATCCCAGAGACCTGAATTCCACTCAAAGATCTGAGGTGAGAACCTTTGAGCTCACGTTTCACAAGAAAAACAAGGACCTTGTTCTTAATTCTTACTTGCCTTATATTATACGAGAAGCAAAGCTGCAGAAACTTGAGAGCAGGGCAATCAAGATTCACACTGTGGATCATGAAAACATGTATGACTCGCAGTCGATGAATCTTGATCATCCGGCAACCTTTGAGACTCTAGCAATGGACTCAGAACTGAAAGACAAAACTTTGAAAGATTTAGACAGATTTGTGAAGAGAAAAGATTATTATAGGAAAGTGGGGAAGGCGTGGAAAAGAGGGTACTTGCTATATGGCCCTCCAGGGACTGGAAAATCCAGTTTGATCGCCGCCATGGCTAATTATTTGAACTTTGATATATATGATCTGGAGTTGACTGAGCTGATGAGGAACTCTGATTTAAGACGGTTGCTTGTGGCCACGGCTAACAAGTCCATCTTGGTGGTGGAGGACATTGACTGTACCATTGATTTGCAAAATAATTTGGCTAATCGAGCAAATGATTCTCCTTCAAACAGTTCTAATCAACAAGAAAGCAAGGTAAGTCTCTTTGTTTTTCCAAGGCAAGCTCCTACTAGATCCTACTATTCCTACTGGATTTGAGCAACTCGAGTATGAACACAGTATCGCTATGCCCCTCGCTTAGCACCGCTCTTTGGTTTAGGATGGATCCGGACTGGAAGCGAAAATACCGTAACAATGGCTTCTTTGCTTGTATTTTCTTGTCTGTCTTTAAAAGTATTCCGATTCACTTAGATTTCCATATTTTATTGTTCATTGCAGGTGACATTATCTGGTTTGTTGAATTTTATTGATGGATTATGGTCGAGCTGTGGTGATGAAAGAATCATAATTTTCACTACAAATCACATCGAAAAGTTGGATCCTGCATTGTTAAGGCCTGGTAGAATGGATATGCACATTCATATGTCATATTGCACCCCCTGTGGCTTCAGGCTTCTTGCTACTAATTACTTGGGCATTAGAGAGCACAAATTGTTCAAAATAATTGAGGAACTGATAGAAACTGCGATGGTGACACCGGCCGAAGTGGCGGAGCAACTATTGAAGGAAGATGAGATTGAGATTTCACTTAATGGTTTAATTAATTTTCTTCACGTAAAGATTAAAGAAAAGGAAGATGCCATGTTTAGGAAAGTAGAGGCAAAACAAATTGAAACAAATGAGAAGAAGGAAAGTGATGAAAAAGAAACTGAAGAAAACTTGGAAGAAAAAAGATTACCAAACCAGGAAAGTTAAAAGCCAAAAAGAGAGTTTGCTGAACCTAACATGGCATTGTTATTAGGGAATTTGTGTATTCACCGAAATTGCTCAATTTCACCCAACCCTACACTTTTGCCAAAAAAAATGCACTCTCATATTTGTTCATTTCTCAAAACAAAAAATCGACTATACATACACATACATGCACATATCTAGATAATTCAACATATTTTGTTGCTACCAGACACAAGCAAACACATACACTCAAGTGGCTGGATAGAGTTCAATTTTGGAAAATGACATTGTATAGCCGCTTCGAAATTAATAGTAAAAGAATATATATTTTTGTATACATATACATTTCTATTTAATTATATATTGCCTTTACCAAATATAAATAATTTCGGCCGCAAGTTAAAAATGATTTTTTAGCCTAACCAAAGCTGGTCCAAGTCGGTAGGAAGGGCCAGGGCCAACCTGGGGCTGGCTAGACCCAAATAAGAATAAACTTCCCAAAAAATAATTATTTTAATTTTACATATTTTAGTTTTCAATTAGTCAATTTGTAAGATTTAAGAATGTAAGTTTTCATTATTCAGATTTTCAAATCTACCAAAAAAGAAAGGATAGATATCTTAGCTATAACAAATGTTACTCTGGCCGAGGGTCTATCGGAAACAGCCTCTCTACCCTATCGGGTAGGGGTAAGGTCTGCATACACATTACCCTCCCCAGACCCCACCTGGTGGGATTTTACTGGGTAGTTGTTTTACTCTGTTGGGAGCAGGAAGTCTTATGCGGTGTGGTTTTGAATGAAAGGTTGCACTCTTTGAAAATGGAACACATTAAAAATTATTTCTATTGTTAAGAAAAAGGTACTTTGACTCTAATCCTCCTCTGCCAAACACAACTCAAATTACAAGGAGCAAGAAAAATCTACCCAAAAAGAGAGAGAGAGAGAAAGAAAATACAAAGATTAAGCTATAAGAAATGTGCTAAACGGCTATTATCCTCACATATTAAATTGCAAGAGGTTATCGAACTTATCGAACCTCAACCATGAAAAAATAACATTAGTTGTAGTAGCCTAATCCATGACAGCGTTGGCATAGTATCAATGTGGACTGGAGTGGCGAATGTGTCAAATCTTTCTACAGAGTATTTTGCAAAGATATTATAAAAGATTCTAATTTGTATATGGTCGGAATTTGAATTAATTAATAAACCAAGTATCAAGTTTTTGACTTTTTGTTGAAGTTTTTGGCAATTCAAGGGAGGGCTCTTCTCTTTCCAAATTTAAAACTCGCTTAAAAAATATTATACTGGAACTTCAACAAACTATAAGTTTCAGCATAATACTAGAGATTGAAGCATCTGCATATGAACTTCTAGCATATTATGCCGAACCAGTATATTATGCTAGAACTCCAGTATATTATACTGAAACTCCAGTATTTTCAGGATTGAACAGTGTTTTCGTTCAAATTTATCTTTGCATGAAAAATGGCTTAATTTCGATTACTTTTGAAACTGTAGCTATTTTTCAATTAACACTTGTAAATCTGGCTATTTTTGAATTTCACCTTTTTTTTTTTTAGTAAGGAGAAGATGGAAATGTATTTGCAGCTAGCTGCGATGACAAATTTGGAAAAAATAAATAAAATAAACATCACTAACTTATCTATTGGCACATAATCGGAATTACCGCTTCCAAAGGTGAATATATTTTAATCCTTAAAACAAACTAATAAATTTTGAATTTTGGAGTTTATGGATTTGATTAGCGCAAGTTAAAGCTTCCAAAAAGAAAATTGGTAAACAAAAAAATAATTGTGCAATATTTAATGAAATTATAAAACTATAGCAGCAGTAATTAATTAACATTTGGCAGCAACTAAATATTAATATATTATATACAAATTTAAATATGCTATAAAGGTAAATATATCTGTTACTTTTAAAATAAACTAAGAGTTATGTTGTTTATAAAAAAAAAAAAAGATTAAAAACTTGACCTACTGGCTAAAAATCTCAAGAAAATTTGCCATGAAGTGTAATAGGGGATTTCAATCTTAACAATTGGGCCCGATCCAGTCTGTTAAACCTGACCTTTATTTTTGTTTAGGAGGTGGTGGATCGGGGTAATAATACAACTCTTCAAACTTAATGATTTCACATCCTATAACTTGTAATTTTCAGTTATAACTACGCAAAAATAAAAAATAAAAAACCTTTTATTTTAACTCATTCTCATGATGATATATCATTTCGTCCAAAAAAAAAAAACCAACTTAGTTTCAGAAAGTTACAAAACATGAATGGCTCATATTCACTCTACAGCTTCAAGGAAGCTCATGAAAGTGTATATTCAAAGAATCAAAAAGAATTATTCATAAATTTAAAATGACATAAATAATCCACCATATACCTCACCAGGGCGTATGCAGGATTTTATATAAGGGGTGTCGATATTTTAAGAAGTGAACCAGTAAACAAATTACTATAATGAAACAAAGCGGTGGAACTAAGTAGAGAAAAAAGGGTTCATCTGAATCCCCTTGGTTAGAATATTATATCGTATAATTAGATAAAAACAAGTATTTTTTGTTATATGTAAACAATTGAATCCCCTTGCATTAGGAAAGATTCTAGTAAAGTAGGAGAGATGTTCAAAAGTTATTATAGATCATGGGTTTAAATCTCAATTGTGACATTCTTTATTTCAAGATTCCAAATCATAAATTATTAACACTAATCCCAAAAGATATTTAAAAAATATACTAAAATTATTTCGGGAAAAAAAGAATCTAATGGAGAATCGTACGTGATGAGCCGCTCTAAGGTTGGAGACTCGAAAGGAGAGTGCGGAACTGGAATAAGAAGTCAGAACTTAAGTAAAAGTGAGATTTTGTTTCACATTCTTTCTTCACATTGTACTATAGCCTTTGCTCAGGTTGGGCCTGCTGTCATTCTGAGGTTTATATTTGTTAAAACAAAACGATTAAGCGTTTAGGCAAGGAATCGAACCTACGACCTCCTACATTCCAAGGAACTGACGCGACCACCAGACTGGAACAAATTAATTTTTCAAGTGCTGTCATCTCAATAGATAGTAACGTATTTTTTTTTCAATCACCTATAATTTTATAGAAAATTTCAGCAAAGCGGTATCGGATGACACCGCTTATAGCAAATGTAGATTCGCCTATGTGAGTAAATGTTGCGACCAAAAAACACTCACGCAAGTGCACGTGATCGTCAAGTAATAGAGTAGTGAGTAGAGTATCGTTCCCACGAAGACTTGTGATCAACTATTGACTGATTCCAACCCAATTACTTTATCTATCCAAGAGATTCTTCACAAAATAAAGATGTTATTGTTTTACTATCTAAATTATCAAGAATTAATCTAACTAGAGCAATTAACCAAACGAATAGCAATTTCAGGTAACAAACAGTAGGAGAGAATATTCCAGGGTCACGGGTTAGTTAACAATCTTGTTGTATTCTTAGCTTAAGATGACTAATCGATTTATCTGGGTTATTGATTGACAGGGTTTTTATTACTCATAAGAATCTGTCGAGTTCTTACTCGCCTATTCAAGTTAACTCAATGCCTATATGTCTATGGAATTAAGATTAACAAGAACGCATTTACAATTCCTGTATTTTAACCAAGCAAGGCAATTGGGTATATGTCTATCCCAATTGCAAATCCGTTCCCCGAGGCCCGGGTTCAAGAACTTGCTCTATTTAATTCTATATGCAACCTAAAGTTCCCACTTTCGCGTTCAACTCTAGATTCGTAGATAGTATTTCACTGCTAGCTACTCAGCAAAACAATTAACAGCAGAATTAAATAAACAACCCAAGATGATAAACCAACTTTGTCAAATTAAACCTCAAACAACAACATTCATGTTTTACCCATGACCCTAGAACAATGGGTTTTAGCTACTCATACTGGTGTTCATCATAAATAGATTCAATTTCATCACAATTAGCAAAAACAAAGAGAAGAAACAAAGAACTTGATGATCCAAATCCCTCCTTGCCTCTTGCCTCTCTATTTCTTGCTTTAGCCTATGAAAACCTTGATGATTTGACCTTGGGCGAGCTTGACTTTATATAGGTTAAGTGGGTTTCTTTCTAGATTTCCAATTTTACCCCTAACTAGCTCTTTTCCGGACGGCACCTGCGCGAACTCTGCACGACTTCGCGCAACTTTCGCGCACCCTTTCTGTCTCAGCTTATAACATGCGCGAACTCTGCGCGACTTCGCGCAATCTTCGCGCACCTGGGGCTTGATTTCTTTCAAATTTTTCGTCTTGTTCTTGCACGCACTCAACTCCGAGGGCTCGTTTTTTTTGCCCATAAATCATTCCAATAACCTCTTAAAAGCATCATATAAGCTCCTCACCCTGCAATATACACAAATCACAATTAGAGCCTATTTTTCATCAAATAACCATATTATGTCATTGAAATGTAATTAAGCGGAAGCATAAACAATAGCTAAATCACCTAGATTTCGCCTATTATCAACACCCCACACTTAATTCATTGCTAGTCCTCGAGCAATCAAACTATACCCTCTATAGAATCCTTCACTCAACCATTTCCCCTAACGCATTACACCTAGAACAATGTGCATACTTTACGCCTAGCAGTGAACAATCCTAGCCTCAAAGCCGACTCTCAAGTGCCATGCAATATTCACACTTCCTCAAAGTACTCTACACAGACGTTAAGACTTGCTTTTCCGTCATGAATCATATGCCATCACAATCACATCAACAAAAGCTGAATTCAATCCACACATTTGAGTCATACACTCACATATATCAATGAAAACACTCACTCTCACAATCGAAGTCACATGCATGCAATTGGTACCATAGGCTTGCCCTTAATGTAAATCTCTGCTAATGTAGGCTAGCTCGACCCAAAATCAATTAGAACTTTTTCATGGTTGTAATGTGGGCTAAGGGACGGGTAGGATATATTTAGGAATAGTGACTCAACCTCCTAAGCACTTTAACACATCACATGAGCAATTTTTCAGCGCAAATTCTTCAACCCACTTCTCATTCACAAACAAATTCATCACACAAATACTCCCTTCTTCTTTAAGCACTCTATTAATTCATATCCACTAGCTGAAACAAGACACAATATATTCATCTCTTTTTTTTTCCAGTTTATTCTTCTTGTCACTCAATTTCCGCTAGCGATGTATTCGTTTACAACACAAGTGCACCATTCACCCTTTAATTGGTTCCACTCAAAAGCCACCCCACACTTATTTCCTTCTTACTTCTTTTAGCGCTCCTCTCACAATTAAAGTGCTCTAA